ATCTGTAAAGTGCAACAGATATCAAGTCACTGCAGTATAACTTGACTGTAAATGCCCCATATGTGTTGAAACATGGCCTGGAAGCGTTTTACCGATCCCAAGGCTCAAGTGGTTTGAGATTTGTGATTAATAAATTAAATATGTGTTCTTGAGTTAAAAAAAAAAAAACGTGCAGATGTTGTGTTTGTGTCAACCATCATGCCAACAATATGCATGCCAAAGATCTGCATTGGTGAAAAACGTATGTAAATGAAAACACATTCATTGTATTGTGTATGAACATTATAGCAATTAAAATATCTGCTCTTTCCTACTTAAAAAACAATATAGGCTACAAGTTCATTTGTGCAATGATCCCCTTTAGCATAAACTAAATTATATACATTTTTCTAGACATTGCCTTTTATGTTCAAACTGTGAATTTGAAGTATTTTGGAAGTAGGCCTATGCTATGTTGACAGGTAATTTTACATTTACATCATTTAGCAGACGCTCTTATCCAGAGCGACTTACAAATTGGTGCATTCAATTTATGATAGCCAGTGGGACAACCACTTTTTACTATTCCAGGTATTCCTTAAAGAGGTAGGGTTTTAAGTGTCTCCGGAAGGTGGTCAGGTGACTCTGCTGTCCTGGCGTCGTGGGGGAGCTTGTTCCACCATTGGGGTGCCAGAGCAGCAAATAGCTTTGACTGGGCTGAGCGGGAACTGTGCTTCCGTAGAGGTAGGGGAGCTAGCAGGCCAGAGGTGGATGAACGTAGTGCCCTCGTTTGGGTGTAGGGTCTGATCAGAGCCTGAAGGTAAGGAGGTGCCGTTCCCCTCACAGCTCCGTAGCCAAGCTTCAATAAAAGTTATTACATTGAAATTAATTTGCAGTTATGAGGAAGTAATGTATACAGAGACTTGTTAGAATAGTTATGTTTGATTGTGTTTTAACACACAAAGCTTTTCAAAATGTTTTTTTCTGACAGACCCCTGTATATCACTCCCATATGGTAGGAGGGTTAATGAGTTTCTCCATTTCACTTTAACCCATTTTTTTCTGAACAAATGTGCAATGCACTTTTCAAACTGTGAAAGGCTTGGCCCTCATAAGGACAGTACAGTATGAAGATAGCCTAAAACTGCTTCTCCAATAGAAATCCCCGATCACACTTGTAAGCGATGTCTGGAGACATTGGCTAGCTAAACTCATGCGTAGAAACACGTAATCGGGTCCAACGGTCGTCTCGCCCCGAACTGCGCATGTGCAAGACGTCCAATCAAAGGCACTCTTTCGATATACAGTAATTTTCTATGAAAATGAAAACGTGTCAGTTTGTCACTTTCACAAGGTTGGAGTAATAACATGTTCAACTACTTAAGACATTGTCTCGAATCTAGGTTGTGCCTTTAGATTTCGAGAAAAATAATAACTAAGGAATAATTTTTCACTTCTCTCATTGCTCTTTCCCGGAAGTCACGCAATGTTGAGCTTCTGCGTTTAGAAACTCTGTGGCAATACCGTGGCAATACGCAACAAAGCGTCTAGTCGGCTGGAAAACCAAACGAAGAAGTGAGTCGGAGACGGTTTGGGAAAGATTGCTGAAGTGGATGATGAGTTCGAATCAAGCAGCGCGTCGAGCAAAGTTAGTGAAGACGAATGTTCCGAATGGACAACAGTAGTATTGAAAACTGGAACAAAAAGGAAATTGTCTAAAATTGGAGTGGAGGATACTTGTATGAATGTTAATGAATCACTTCTTGCTGGGATGCGTTTGTTGAGTAAGGATGCATATGTGGGAGACCCGTATGAGGTGTCGAAAAATTGTGAAGTATGCGCTGGGTCTGTCAGAGTGACCAGGAGTGGTCTAATTTTGAGTAATTGTATTTATGAAGAACTGAGGAAGATTGCAGTGAGCCTCAAAAGAATCCGGACAACAGAAGTTTTGTGTTTTTAATTTTGGAGTAGAGCACACGTCAAAGGAGTCATCTCAGGGGTGACGACGGATGTTCAGGTTGAATCCCTGAAGAGAATTATTGGTGTGGTTGGTGCCCGGCGTCTGACCCGCTGGGTGAATGGAGAAAAATAAGAAAGTCTGTTGGTCCTGTTGTTTTTTGATAAAGAGCAAATACCTACGCATGTGAAGCTCGGTAATGTAAGATACGCTGTAAGAGCTTTCGTACCCAAACCATTGTATTGTAAGAATTGTAAAGGATTTGGCCATGTTTCAAGTGTGTGCAGACGGACAGAGTATATTGAAGAACGGTGTGTAGAAAGACGACAGTGTTGCAATAGTGGTGGGGTTCATGATCCCGAGTTCCCTGTAAGGGTGAAAGAGATTGAGGTGGCAAAAGTTAGAGCGGTCAATCAAATCTCCTATGCGGAGGCGATTAAAAGTATTGAGAAAACAAGTGATGTTAGTGAAGAAATGGTAGTGGACGCACCACAGCCTGTAGTAAATGTTTGCTGCCGGTGAAAATATACCCTGTGTGTTAAAAGGTGGATTTTGTGGCGTTCATTGCCACAGTTATAAACTGTACTGCACGAGTCTCAAAGAAATCTAAGAAACTGGAGATTAAGGATTTTAATCTGAAGATTTGCAAAGGGTATTTGCGCCAGAAGACCCGCCCTCCCAGGTTCCCCTTGAGCCTGTGTAGGGATCAGATCTGTAAAAAATTTTTTTACAGAAAGGTTGTTTGATTTAGTTAATTTTATTTATTGTTTGTTAGTTTTTGGGGTATTTTGTTCCATTTTGGGGAATCCTGTTTCCATCCCGCACAGTACGTAGCGGAATGCACATTACATTGTGCGATCGCCAATATACCATAGAAGAAGAAGGTTTCATGATGCCACCGAAGAATATATCAGTCACATGGTAAGTGACGTATTTTCTTCGTCATATCCTCCATCTTTCGTTGCCGCATGTTTCCTCGGATATTTGTGGATCAGGTCTGGTATATTGTTATTACGTCATTTTTTAGAGTGGTGTTATGATCTACAATTACGTTTGTTTGATATTTGACTGGGACCGAAGTACTTTAGACGAAAAGAGGCAATGACACTTCATATGATACCCAGCAAGTCCACTGTTTTCATTTTGTTAACTATCTAGCGTTGGCGTGCTAGTATGTCTGGTTAGCCTGGCTATATCTGGCAATTTGTTTGCGTCAGCAACAGACAGCATCCCTTTTGTGAAAGATGTCGCATGTGGATTAGGCTCGTTTTCAAATTGTATGTTCTGGTTGTTTTACTGTTCTCTCGAGGTAGTTAACGTTAGCTAGCGAGTAACAACGCCCCCTTGTCAAACGTGGTTAGCTAGCTCGCTAACTGAGGTTCACATAATAAATTAGCTAGCTAGTAGGCTAGCTAGTTACAGTAGTTAGCTAGCAGCTAGTTAGCTGAGAAACGCTGAACTTCATTCTCTGAGCGTTCCTCGGATAGTTAGTTTGGCAGCAGATATATGTTGATGTAATCCCTAATACCTCCAGTCAAATTATGTATCAAATTATGAATGAAACTGGTCATCTGGAGCAAATTGTTCTGCTATTAGTGCTGATAATTGACAAGATAACAACCCATATGCCTCCACTTGAAAACAGTTCAGTTGCTAGTTTAAATGTTTTAGTTTGACTCATACCCATGTGATTTTTCCAGGTAGCAACATGAACCAAGAAAAATTAGCAAAACTTCAAGCCCAGGTCCGGATAGGAGGAAAGGTAAGCTAATTTACGTCTTTAGAGATTCAACAGGAAGTACCTGGGGTGCGTTCAGCAGGATAGAATGGTGTGCAATGTTTAAAGGTAGTCAGCGATATGACGGTAGATGCACAAAGTAAACAGCATAGTGGGTCAATTTCCGCAACAACTAAGCGCATTGGAGCGCAAGGCTAAACTTCTCAGCTGTTTTGGTCCCGTGGCTACCTATAGAAGTTTGTGAAGCGAACCCGTGCACATGCGCAGATATTGTGTGTGGCTGTGTAAGAGTGAAGTCTTGCATCATGCTCATCGCAATATCTGTGGTGCTGCTCCTGCTACATCATTTTGCTGACTCAACCTTTAATTCAATAGAAACTACTGTTTTGTATGGAAAGTTGAAGAACGTTGTGATTATGGGGTGTGCTGCACAATTCAGTCATGGTCTCAGCTTACAGTTGGGTGTAATTTCGAAATTTGGTTTGCATCAGCTGTTTTTCTCTTGTCAGTCACTACCAGTCACTCAATTAGCCCATGGCGGCAACAAAATTTAGCTTAGGGTCCCCCAAAAGGCTAGTGCTGGCTCTGCCTGCATGTGTGGGTATGGATATGGGTACACAGACCCGTGAGCCACTGTGGCCCCTCATGATGAGTTCCTATTTTTTTGTCCCCCATCAAAGTTGCCCATCCCGTTTCTACATGTTGGAGAGGCATATTTGTTATACATAACATTTGTCTATCTGAACATTCCAAAACATTGCATCCTGTTGAACGTGCCCCTGTTGAAGGAACGTGAACCATTTTGGGAAAACGGTTTGTTCAGTACAAACTGTCACGCAACGTAGGAAAACGTTCAATGAACTAAACACACCCCGGATTTAAGGACTATAAGCATGGGCTCCACCATTGGACAGACACACACAGGTCATTTAAGGAAAAAAGTATAGTCATTCTTAGCAAGATTTGGGAGAAATATCCCTGGACTGTCCGTATTTGAAATTAATTAATTAAATCAAGTCAATCTTGAGGAGTTAGGCCTATACAATACATTTTTATCAAATGAAAGTGTAGTCTAAATGTTGTTTCAAATAGCACATTATTTTTGCCATTTTTAAGGTGAAACGTTTAAATGAAATATAGGCCTGCTACTTCTATATTATATACTCAATATTTATTTATTTATTTTAGTTAATCAACCTTATGGTTTCTGATACTCCTGATACGTTGATATTTCTCTGAGGACTGGACACACCCCTGCTCTATTTAACCTTTATTGATGTACATTCTTACATCTCCCTGCGTTGTTTTCAGGGCTCGGCACGTAGGAAGAAGAAGGTCGTACACAGAACGGCAACAGCCGACGACAAAAAACTTCAGAGTTCGTTAAAGAAATTAGCTGTCAACAACATTGCTGGTATTGAAGAGGTAAACACAGCTACCATTATACATTTTGTGTAATCTTAAGCTCTTAAATGTTGTATTTTGTTTGTTTCATGCCTCCCTTATACAGTGCCTTCAGAAAGTATTCATACCCCTTATTCCACATTTTGTTGTTACAACCTGAATTCAAAATGTATTACATCGACACACAATACCCCATAACGACAAAGTGAAAACATGTTTTTTGAAATGATAGCAAATTCATTGAAAATGAAATACAGAAATATTTCATTTACATAAGTGTTCACACCCCTGAGTCAATACTTTGTAGAAGCACCTTTTGCAGTAAGTCCGTAAAAGCTTTCCACTCCTGGATTGAGCAACATTTGCCTATTATTCTTTTCAAAATTCTTAAAGCTATGTCAAATTGGTTGTTGATCGTTGCTAGACAACAATTTTTTAGGTCTTGCCATAGATTTTCAAGTAGATTTATGTTGAAATTGTAACTCGGCCACTCAGGAACATTCACTGTCTTCTTGGTAAGCAACTCCAGTGTAGATATGGCCTTGTGATGTAGGTTATTGTGAATTCATCTCCCAGTGTCTGGTGGAAAGCAGACTGAACCAGGTTTTCCTCTAGGATTTTGCCTGTGCTTAGCTCCATTCTGTTTATTTTATATACCCATAACATGATGCAGCCACCACTATGCTTGAAAATATGGAGAGCGGTACTCAGGAATGTGTTGTATTGGAATACTTTATATTCAGGACAAAAAGTTAATTGCTTTGCCACATTTTTTGCAGTATACTTTAGTGCCTTGTTGCAAACAGGATGCATGTTTTGGAATATTTTTATTCTGTACATGCTTCCGTTTCACTCTGTCAATTAGGTTAGTATTGTGGAGTAACTATAATCTTGTTGATCCATCCTCAGTTTTCTCCTATCACAGCCATTAAACTCTGTAACTGTTTTAAAGTCACCATTGGCCTCATGGTGAAATCCCTGAGCAGTTTTCTTCCTCTCCGGCAACTGAGTTAAGGAAGGACGCCTGTATCTTTGTAGGGACTGGGTGTATTGATACACCATCCAAAGTGTAATTAATAACTTCACCATGCTCAAAGGGATAGTCAATATCTGTTTTTGTGTGTGTGTGTGTGTGTATTACCCATCTACTAATCGGTCCCCTTCTTTGCGAGGCATTGGAAAACCTCCCTGGTCTTTGTGGTTGAATCTGTGTTTGAAATGCACTGCTTGACTGGGGGACCTTACAGTTAATTGTATGTGTGGGGTACAGAGATGAGGTAGTCATTCAGAAATCGTTGTAAACACTATTATTGCTCACAGTGAGTCCATGTGACTTCTTAAGCAAACTGTTACTCCTGAACTTATTTAGGCTTGCTATAACAAAGGGGTTCAATACTTATTGACTCAAGAAATGTCAGCTTTTCATTTGTAATTAATTTGTAAACATTTCTAAAAACATAATTCCGCTTTGACATTATGGGGTATTGTGTGTAGACCGTGACACAATCTCAATTTAATCAATTTTAAATTCAAGCTATAACCCCCCCCCCCCCCCCCAAAAAAAAAGTGGAGAAGGTCAAGGTGTGTGAATACTTATATATAATAAATGTTGAAGTCTCTTGCATGGACTGCAGCCTAGAATGACATGGAGTAGAATTTTAAAGTAAGCAACTCCCCCCCCCCCCCCCCCCCCCCCCCTACTGTCACCAGGTCAACATGATCAAGGATGATGGCACAGTGATCCACTTCAACAACCCCAAAGTGCAGGCATCTCTGTCTGCCAACACTTTCGCTATCACCGGCCATGCCGAGACCAAGCAGCTCACGGAGATGCTCCCGGGCATCCTCAGCCAGCTGGGTGCCGACAGCCTCACCAGCCTGCGCAAACTAGCAGAGCAGTTCCCTCGGCAAGGTGGGTTGGCCATCATGTAGACTCATTAGGTTAGGGCTGGGGTATATTCACAAGGGACAAAACGTGGAGGGACCTACCAGAATTTGTCAAATAGACGCTCTCGTTTTTGTTGCAAAACGTTTTCTGTTGCAAAGAAAAGTTCTGCTACAGTTTGCACTAATGAGTACACCCCTGGGGATTATTTTGAGACCTGAGGAGCGTCTTGATGCTTATTGCTTACAATATATATATATTTTTGCAGTGCTCGACAGCAAAGCCCCTAAAGCAGAAGATATTGAAGAAGAAGACGACGATGTCCCAGGTAAGGATGATTCCGTTTGCAAGGGAAGTATATCAGACACTTCAGAGGAAACGTTGCATCATTTGAACCTGTAAAACCATCCTTTGTTTTCCTCTCCCTTTCTCTTCAGACCTGGTGGAGAATTTCGATGAAGCATCAAAGAATGAAGCAAACTGATTGATCTTCCCCTTGAGACCCCATACAAGGATTGGAACTGCAATTAAGAAACGAAGGGCGACTTCTCCGATGTTTTAACTTCTAGTTACGAAGACATATCATTTCAAACACTATCCCGTCAACCAGAGACTTGTGTATTTTGAAATGGCCCAAGGATGACTGGCTTGCCCACTTAAACTCCCAACACATTGGTCAACGGTTCAGTACTTTTCACCACATTGTTAGTCGGGATCAGGATTGCGGTGGTCATTAATTAAAGCTAGTCTTAATTTTAAAAAAATTGTTTATGAAACAAAATAAAGGTGATTAACGTTTTCTACATGGTGCTGTGGTCTTTCTGGCTGTTGAAAGGGGGTATTTAGTTTTTGAAGACTGTTGGCACAATTTCTGCCACCCTGGTTCATCATTGTATCAATATTAATTTCAAGCAGCTGTTGACTCACACTCAAAGTAATCCATGCAACTGCAGCATCAGGCCTTGCAGAGGTCATGATATTAGACTGACTTGGATGATATCGCTGATGAAAGATGGTTGTAAGGCCTTTCGTGATTGTAATTTTAGACCCATATGTTTTATTTCTGAAGTTTCATGTACATATGACTTGGGTATTATGACCTAGCACTTAAACCACTGGGATAAAGATATGAAAATGTAATCTTGAGTCATTATGTCCTATAGACAAATTTTTGCCTAGAAATAAGAGCAAGTTTTCTGTAATAGAATGATATAATTAGGTAAATATCTATTCTAATACAGCTAGAAAAGGACATTGAGGACATTCTTGAGTTTACTTAAGAAGACCTGCAGTGAGTTTGTGGGCGCGCAGAAGGGGGGGGGGGGGGATAGTGGGAGAGAAATCGTCCCTCCCCGCTAGTGAGCAAGACTGCTTTTCTTCTCACTAATGTTACAATATGTTGAAGTTCTTCAGTGCCCGGGACGATGAGAATGAAAGCCTATTGGGTGCATTGACAGAAGGTACGTTTTTAATTCTATTCCAAAGTAAAATCAGACAGACAGTGCGAGATTATGTAGTTCTATCATAGGGGAAATTGTAGCTAATCTGCAGTCATCGTTTTGCCGCGCGCGACACATTAATAGACTGGCAGAAGCACACGAGAATATCCCTTCTGCCTATATGAATTACTGGAAAAATACGACTTGAATTATATGGAAATAACGTGATAAAGGGAATAATGCTGCGAAATTAACCTGCAACGATTAATGAAGCGGGATGGGGAGCAAATGTCGCATTGCCGTTTTCGCTGGTCGAGAGGGGATTTAAACTGTTGCACGTGTGCTGGATGCGTCACCCGTCCCGCGAAGCAAACGCTCAGTCAGCTGTATCGGTTGAGCCCTATTGCAGTTTATATGCGCCGTAAAAAATAAGATATATTTACCGATAATCTGTAATCGTCAGCATGAATGGCAGGGTTGGGGCGCAATAACAGAGGGAGGGTTAAAGCTGCAATGCAGTTTTACCCCGACAAGAATTCACCAACGCTAAAGGGTAGGCCTACCTGAAATTGTGCAATAGGCAATAACCAACCAAGGCGCAATCACAGCACAATGTAACCGCAAATCTGAATTATGAATCAGATTTTCTTCCTCACAGGTCATAACATTTTGTCTTATTTCATTCGATAGTGAAGTAGAATATTTAAACAATATAGAATGAAATTGATATTGCCTTTATTTGTGTTATTGACATTATCCATCCATTCTCGATCATTTAAAACTATTTGTATGCGCCTTGATTAATAATGTGTAATAATAATGTACATAATCTAACATCCAGTTTTGCCACCTGTATTTTTTTTTATGCTGGTGTTTCACTACAGCCCTATTCCCCAGAGAATGAGTCAGCTTTACCTGGCTCTCTGGATCTGTCTCCCTCTGAAATGGCACCCTATTTCCTATATAGTGCATTACTTTTGACCAGAGCACTATGGGCCTGTGGTGCACTAGGGGGGGGGAATAGGCTGCCAAAAGTAGTGCACTACATAGGGAATAGGCTGCCATTTGGGACGTTACCTTGCTCTCTCAGTGACGACATTGCAAGTATGTTGGCCTCAGTGGATTATTTAACCTATTCAAAGCAAAGAAAATGGCGCCCCATTTATTGGACCCATTACCACCTAGGAACACAGCCTGTCCCATCTGGGATCATAGTCGTGTGCGTGAGTGAGTGCTTGGGTGCTCTTGTGGACTAAATATTATGTTCTTCATATATGTCTGTTTGTTCTCTTTGTGAAGCAGAATGTCTTTGTCAGGTTCATTTGACATATACCTTTACATAGTTTTGATCTGTTTCCACGTCTTTGTATGAACAGATGAATCGGATGCTCCGTCTCTGATGGATGCTAAGCATCACTGGCTCCACAGACCCTGTCTGCTGATGCTCAAAGATGGGGATGTCACAAAGCCAGGACAGCTGGGCTGTGGACACATCGGATCAGAGTCCCCTGCAAAACCCAAAGTCCATTCAGAGGGGGTCCTGAGCCCAGGGGTGGCAAAAGAGGGTCCTGTTTCCCAACTGGAGTCCCCTGCTCAGAGACTGATGAGACAGCTAGAGGAGGGAAACTGCACTGTGACCACTCTCTCAACATGGGGAGAGAGGCATTTTGGGGAGGCTTCCACCCCCCTAATGCTCAGCCCCTCCAAAGCGGCTGGGCCGGAAGTGGAGGTGGAGGTAGAAGAGGTGGTGAAGAGCAGGCCCCAGCCATCCTCCTCCAAGGAGGACTCTGTGGTTGAGGAAAAGGAGCTGGAGGAGAGTGGACTTGAGCTGCAGGACTCCCCCAGTGGCTCAGATGCCCTAGGTCCTGACATGGACGACACGTCTGGTCCCCCTGTAGAGGAGCCCTATGGAGGCGGCCATGATGCCCAGATCCAAGGGCCTAGACTGGGGCTTCAGAGCCAGACCAAAGCCAATGGACTAGCTAATGATGAGACCAACGCCAACATAGTTCAAGCAGATAGTGAAGAGGGAGCTGTGGGGGACTGCACACCTTCCCCAATGTCTCCATTAGTGGATCCAGACAATGAGCTACAGGCCGGCCCCGCAGGCATTCTTTCCAGGGAGCGAGGCACTATCCTGGGGGAGGTGGCCCCCGTGTGGGTCCCTGACGCCCAGGCGCTGGTCTGTATGATGTGTGAAGTCAGATTCACCTTCACCAAGAGAAGGCACCACTGTCGCGCCTGTGGCAAGGTGAGGGTCTTGCACCACTATTTTATTTTTGTGTGTGTGTAGGTTGTATTTAAGGTGCGTCTCTGGTATGTTGTCCCTGAGAAATTAGGCTGACCATTAGTGATTGTGTGTCTGTGCTACAGGTATTCTGTTCATTGTGCTCTGGTCTGAAGTTCCGACTAACACACCTGGATGGGAAGGAGGGGCGTGTCTGTGTCTCCTGTCACTCAACTCTAGTGAAAAGTGAGTATCACATGACAACACTGTTACCATGACACTACAGGGTAAATCCATTTAAATTCAATCACTTTTTGACAGCACCCCTTGTGATTTAAACGAAACCTTCCATACATATTTGCCCATTGTAGAAGTGGCAATAAAGTTATTTTTTGGAGCCAAATGCCAAAACATGATATTGATATAATTTCAAACCTTAAAAACAGGGTTGTCAAACTATTTATATTTTCTGTGACAAAAAAAAATACACAAATACTAATATTTATGTAGTCCCGTGTAGCTCAGTTGGTAGAGCATGGCATTTGCAACGCCAGGGTTGTGGGTTCGTTTCCCACGGGGGACCAGTATGAAAAAAACAAAAAAAAAAAACATGTATGCACTCACTAACTGTAAGTCGCTCTGGATAAGAGCGTCTGCTAAATGACTGAAATGTAAAATGTAATGTCCCTTTTTAACCTTTAACGTAAATTACCTCAAAAATACTAAACTCTGATTTTTTTCACATTCGCATATGTGGTAGCTTATACCCTATTTTACATCGTCTAAGGTTTTTGTGTTGTTCCTGCTATCGGTTGAGACACAACATGCTCTTTTTCATATTCGCAAATGTTGTAGCTTATACGCTATTTTACATCGCCTAAGGTTTTTGTGTTGTTCCCGCTATCAGTTGAGACACAACATGCTCTTGAATACAGGGTAGGTGTCATGTTTTGGCTGATGAATGCACTAAAATGGGAATAAAATAGAGATTTCTACTTTCAAATGGTACCACAAACATGGTTGGAGATCCAAACATCAGAGAATGTTGACTTGAATGGGAAAATCTGTTGTTTGAAATTACCTATTGAAATCATAGAAATATAGATAAGAGAATATACATGACAATTTAAGTTGATATTCGACAGTGGGTGGACCGGCTGTAATCTTTGTAGTAGTAATTAGAAGTTACAATTTCAATTCAATTTCAATGGTGTACCAGCTAAATTACAGTCTTCTGAAGGGATAGGTCCATTCTATGAATTTTATTTCTATGATTGAAATGACACCCACCCTGGATTCAAGAGCATGTTGTGTGTCAACCGATGGTGGGCACAACACAAAAACCTAAAATGATGTGAAATAGGGTCTAAACTACAACATATGCAAATATGAGTTTACAAATTTTTTGATAATTGACGTTAAAGGTTTAAAAAAGACAATTTTTCAAAAGAAAGAATCAAATTGTTTGACAACACTGTTTGTAAGCTTTTAAATTGATCAAACTCAACCGTTAATCTTTTCCAGTGATGAAGACATGGATGTCTCATGGTATGGTGGGGTATGCAAAACGGTTCAACTTTTAGCACCTTTATCTCCTGAATGTTTTGGCATTTAGGTCCAAAAAGTAACTTTCTGACCACTTCTTCCATGGGCAAACATGTATGGAAAGTTTTGTTTAAATCAAAAGGGACGCTGTCAAAAAGTGATTGAGGCAATAAGTGTGTTATAAAGTTAATTGGTGCAATATGGAGAAAAATGTTCCTGTCAATATTATTGACTTTCTCTCATGTATGTTTTTCTTTAGCAACCCCTCCCAGGGGGAGGAGGAAGGTGTGGTTTGCTGATGAGATCCTATCCAATGAGAAATCAGACTCTGCCCCTTGTACACCAATCAGAGGCCCCACCTTCTCGCCACTATTATTGAGGAGAAGTATAGCTGCTACAATCAGAAGCGCCACTGGCTCACCACAGACCAGCAGGAGGGCCCCAATAGCACAGGAGATGCCCCTGCTCAATGTATGTAACAACACCTTATCAGACCAGACTGAATTGATACAATTAAAATTAAATAAAAGATCTAAGGATGTGGTCACATGCACATGCATCAGTCTTTCTGTTGGTATCTTTGATATCCATAACCCCACAGTATTCCATAAGCTCTCTCTTTATGACTCTCTTTCTGCCTCTCTATCTCCTTCCTCCCTCCTCCTCCTCCTCCTCCTCCTCCCTCCTCCACCTAGGGGCAGCAGGTAGCCGAGAGGCTAGAGGTTAGAGAAGCAGGTCAGCAACTGGAAGGTTGCTGGTTCGAATCCCATAACTGACAGGAAAATCTGTCTGGAACTGTCCTAGATGCCATCACCTGCCGTTGGGCCCTTGAGCAAGGCACTTAACCCCTAAACTGCTCACCGGGCGCTGTGTGTGTGTGTGTGTGTCAGAATGGTTGGGTAAAACTAGTGGACCAATTTCTGTCTTGTATGGATTAATAAAGTATTCTCCTTCTTCTCCCTTCTCTGTATAGCCTCTGCAGGAGGCTTGTGGGCCCTGTGGCTGGGGTACAGCAGCCTTGGTCAGCAGCCACATCAGCAGCTCTGCTAACCTCATCCCACTGGAGGGCCTCCCTCCCATCCTCACCTCCACTGGAGTCAAAGGAGGTACGACCAGGCTATCAACACTGGAGATGCTAACGGCTAGCTCAATGTTCTGGGATTGTCATAGTTAGCTACTGGAGATTACTCAAATCAAATCAACTGCAGGGCCAAATACTGCAGGGCCATGTTTGGGAAACCCTGGCTTACTGTACTGGGATTGTCATACGGTTAGGTAGTTAGCTACTGGAGATGCTAAAGGCTAGCTCACTGTACGGATTGTCATAGGGTTATCTACTGGAGATGCTAAATGCTAGCTCACTGGTCATAGGCTTGTCATGTGGTCCTCTGTAGCATGGCGCTTGTAACGCCAGGGTAGTGGGTTCGATCCCCGGGATCACCCATACGTAAAAATTTATGCGCACATGACTGTAAGTCGCTTTGGATAAAAGCGTCTGCTAAATGGTATATTATTATTTATAGGCTTAGCTACTGAATGATCGGAGGGTTAGCGTTAAAGGTGTTACTCTGATTCATTATCAGGCTTATTGTCTTAATGTTGGGCAATTTAATTGGATGCAAACAGGCCACCTTACAAATCTTATTTAGTCATATTTAGACACAGAAGTTAAACTATGGTTGACTGTTTTTAAAGGAGGTATTAGCGGCTACTGCTAGCTCCCTGGGCTCAGGGTAAAATGGAAGCTAATGTCTAATAGCTTCTAGGGATGTCTAGCTCACAGTTTCCTCTGTTTTGCCCAGACTACACAGTCGAGGAGAGGCCCTCTGAGATGGTTCTCATCCAGGAGCTGGAGAGCGGCAGGCCCAACTCCCTGGTCTTTGTCCTCAACGCCAACCTACTGGCAATGGTCAAGCTGGTCAACTGTATGTGACCTTTCCTCTCAACCTTCAACCTTTTTCAGTCATTGACAGTGTGTATACACAAGCACACACTGTTTACATGTATTCTTAGCTCACCATTGACTCAAGTCACATGCATATTTTATAAGAGTGTCAGACCGTGTCACCAACAGTGACCTCACATTGAAACGCTGCCTCTCATTGGCTCTCCCCAGATGTAAACAGGAAGTGCTGGTGTGTGACGTCCAAGGGCATGCATGCGGTAGGCCAGGTGGAGGTGGTGGTGCTGCTACAGTGTCTGCCTGAGGAGAAGAGCTTCCCCAAGGACATCTTCAGCCACTTCATACAGCTCTACAGGGATGCCCTCACAGGTGAGACTGGTGTTGACGTGGTCTGGCAACTTAGCCACCATTGATCAGCACTGGATAAAGCTCTGAAGCAGGTCTTGAAAAGGCTTCCAAGTCTGTTTAATGGTGTACTGGTCCCTCTCTATATATCTCTCATTATCTCCCTCCCTCCGTCTCACTCTCCTTTTCCCTCCCTCCCTCTCTCTCTCTCTCTCTCTCTCTCTCTCTCTCTCTCTCTCTCTCTCTCTCTCTCTCTCTCTCTCTCTCTCTCTCTCTCTCTCTTTCCATCTTTCTCTCCATCTATCTCTCCCCCCCCCACCCCCCTTTCTCCACAGGCAAGGTGCTAAGCCAGCTGGGTCTCTCCCAGTTCTCCAGTAGTTTCCTGGGCAGTGAGGAGCATGCAGGGTTCCTCTGGGTGCGCTCCACTCTCCAGTCCCTGCAGGGCCTGCCTATGCCCAACCAGCCCTTCCTCTTTGGCCTGCTGGTCCACCGGGCTGAGGTACCCTGGGCCAAGGCCTTCCCCCTGCGCCTCATGCTCAGACTGGGGGCAGAGTACAGATGTGAGTCAGGGCTCTGGAGGCGGAAGAGAGATGTAGCTGGGTAGAGAGAGAGAGAGTGTGTGCATGTGTGCGTGCGAGCAATATCCACAGGAACGCAGCATAGCTGTCGATTTGTGGTATCTATTACATTTATTGCATTGGAGACGCAGTGTGCAGCTTTTCTGTTCTTTCTATGCGTTTCACTGGTGCATCCACTCAGTGTCATCCCCATTAAGGCATTCCTCTCCCTTCCTTTACAGTTTACCCCTGTCCTCTGTACAGTGTGCGCTTCAGAAAGGCTCTGTTTGGGGAAACTGGCCACACCATCATGAGGCTGCTAGTAGTAAGTACCTTGCCTCTCATTACAATAACAATAATCAACACCAAGGTTGTATTCATTAGGGCACACGGTACCAAAACGTTTTACAACGGAAAATGAAAGTTCAGATAGTCCCTGCCTGTTTCAGTCAGTTGTTTCCATTTGGGTCCTAATGAATCACACATTTTACCCTCTGCTTCCCAGGACTTCAGGAATTACCGGTACACTCTGCCAGTGGTGCCTGGACTCACTGTAGATCTGGAGGCTCAGAGGACCTGCATTAAAATCCCCACCAACGGCTATGATGAGGTACAGCTAAACCATGAAACAACACTTGGTTAACTGTAATCAATAAGCCGTTATAAATGCTTATAAATACTTTATACATTATAAAAACTCCTTTATAAATAACTCTTTCATCAATAGATCAAGGGTTGACATCAATACATTCTCCCTCTCTTTCACCTTCTCTCTCTCTCTCTCTCTCTCTCAGCTGATGAGGGCTTTGAATAAGTCCAATGAGCATGTGCTGGCCATGGGGGCATGCTTCAACGTGGCAGCAGACTCCCACCTTATCTGTGTTCAGGGGGAGGATGGCCAGTACCAGACCCAGGCCATCAGCATCCACAATCAGCCTCGCAAAGGTGGGAAGCCCCTGGAATCAACAGAGGGTGATGGGGACTATGGGAGACTGCAGACTGCACTGCCTGTCCTGTAATGAAAGATAAATAACAGTAGCGGGGGGATGCTACACAGAGGCAAGCAGCACATCACCTACCATCAGAGAGAGGGAGAGGGAGGGAGATTACAGTACAGAGAGGTAATATTTACTGCCACGTAACACAACCAGTGTATCTGGCCTTTGACAGCCTAGGAAAAATCTTATGTATGATTTGCCATGTTTTTATATGTGCTCACTGCAAGAACTGTGCCTTAGCTGTCACTTTTTCACCACTGGAGGGCAATGTCGTGTCATGTGAGAGGGTGAACCATCCTGAGAAAGTTACCGGTGGAGAAAGCTTACTTCTGTGATTATATTTGGTTAGTCCAACTGTAATATTTAGATGTTTATATCTACAAGTCAAGTGGTAATATATGGTGTTGTGTTTTGTTTCAGTCACCGGTTCCTGCTTCTTTGTGTTCAGTGGAGCTCTGAAAGCAGCATCAGGATATCTTGCCAAATCCAGCATCGTGGAAGGTAGCATCATACTTGTGTATCTTCACTTAGAACTGGAAAGTTACCTTACTAATCATATTTAATTAAAATACAGAAATAGTCATATTATGATTACTTGACTACTAACTTTCATCCTAAATAAGATTTCCTTATTTAGAGTCTGTCAATGTTTGTCTGTATGTGTGTGTCCATGTGCACTCAAAGTTGTGTGTGTGGCTGTATGTATGTGCATGTGAGTGTGTGTGTCCTTGTTGGTGTCTGTGTGTGTCCTTGTTGGTGTCTGTGTGTGTGTGTGTGTGTGTGTGTGTGTGTGTTTTTTTTGCTTTTGCTGTCCCTCTCTCCAGATGGGCTGATGGTGCAGATCACTGTGGAGACCATGGTGGAGCTTCGCCGGTCGCTACGGGAGATGAAAGACTACACCATCACCTGTGGGGGGATTGACCAGTCAGACAGCCAGGAGCATGTCCATGTCCAATGGCTGGATAAGGAATGCACTTTGAACAAGGGGTGAGTGTTAGGTCATTCAACTTCTGATCAGTGTCCCATGAATAGTTCTTTAGCCTATCATTATCCTACATTTATGCCACAGCGTTGTTGAATACATGTTTCTGATTGGCTAGAAGGGCATTCTAGAATGGACATTAAAACCTGACAGTGGGAAAAGATATAGGGACAGTTGGAAAAGATATCGGGACACCTTGCAATCATGAAGCAATATGCACCTACACATGCAGACCGTACTTGCTACAAAGTTACAGAAAGCTAAACCAACAACTACACAAACTGAACTTGGATACATTGTAAACACAGGTCCAACGAGGAAAAAACGTAGCTAGCTAGCATTGATTTGTTTTTGCAGAGACATATTTTTTTTGAACATCTGATGACCTAACATGGTGAGTGGTGAACATGAATTTCTCCGGTCCCTTTCGCCGCTGTGCTGTCAAATCTTCCCACATGTTTCTTGTTTGACCAGCTGTTTTCAGCAACTGATATTTTTTAATTTGGTTGTCATATTGGCAGGTTTGCTATCAACTAACTACTTAGCTAGCTTCTAGCCTAGTGTTTAATAAGCAATGCGATCTCCTCGTAATTAACAGTCATTATACAACGGGTGGGTCTAATCCTGAATGCTGATTGGTTAAAACCGCATTCCAGCAGGTGTCTATTCCACAAGTTACCACCGGCTAAATCTATGACGTTAAAATGCCTATTTACTCTGCGCAATCCACTGTTTTATCAGCCTAGCCAAGTTATTTATGAACTTGATCTCCACTATAAAAAGCATCTAGACATTATCTCACATTTCTTTTAGACTAACATTTCGTTTTCAACAGTGGACATTTGTATAAACCTTGCTCTCTGTCTCTCCGACATTTGCAACATTGTTTCAAAATTCAAATTCGATCTCCAGCTGTCCCATAGAACGTGTCGGGAGTCGGGACGAGACAGACAGACAGGCAGCGTTTCTCAGCCAGTTGAAATCATGAATCAGCTTGCATAATTTTTATGGCTATACAGTGGGGAGAACAAGTATTTGATACACTGCCAATTTTGCAGGTTTTCCTACTTACAAAGCATGTAGAGGTCTGTAATTTTTATCATAGGTACACTTCAACTGTGAGAGACGGAATCTAAAACAAAAATCCAGAAAATCACATTGTATGATTTTTAAGTAATTAATTTGCATTTTATTGCATGACATAAGTATTTGATCACCTACCAACCATTAAGAATTCCGGCTCTCACAGACCTGTTAGTTTTTCTTTAAGAAGCCCTCCTGTTCTCCACTCATTACCTGTATTAACTGCACCTGTTTGAACTCGTTACCTGTATAAAAGACACCTGTCCACACACTCAATCAAACAGACTCCAACCTCTCCACAATGGCCAAGACCAGAGAGCTGTGTAAGGACATCAGGGATAAAATTGTAGACCTGCACAAGGCTGGGTTGGGCTACAGGACAATAGGCAAGCAGCTTGTTGAGAAGGCAACAACTGTTGGCGCAATTATTAGAAAATGGAAGAAGTTCAAGATGACGGTCAATCACCCTCGGTCTGGGGCTCCATGCAAGATCTCACCTCGTGGGGCATCAATGATCATGAGGAAGGTGAGGGATCAGCCCAGAACTACACGGCAGGACCTGGTCAATGACCTGAAGAGAGCTGGGACCACAGTCTCAAAGAAAACCATTAGTAACACACTACGCCGTCATGGATTAAAATCCTGCAGCGCATGCAAGGTCCCCCTGCTCAAGCCAGCGCATGTCCAGGCCCGTCTGAAGTTTGCCAATGGCCATCTGGATGATCTAGAGGAGGAATGGGAGAAGGTCATGCGGTCTGATGAGACAAAAATAGAGCTTTTTGGTCTAAACTCCACTGGCCGTGTTTGGAGGAAGAAGAAGGATGAGTACAACCCCAAGAACACCATCCCAACCGTGAAGCATGGAGGTGGAAACATCATTCTTTGGGGATGCTTTTCTGCAAAGGGGACAGGACGACTGCACTGTATTGAGGGGAGGATGGATGGGGCCATGTATCGCGAGATCTTGGCCAACAACCTCCTTCCCTCAGTAAGAGCATTGAAGATAGGTCGTGGCTGGGTCTTCCAGCATGACAACGACCCGAAACACACAGCCAGGGCAACTAAGGAGTGGCTCCGTAAGAAGCATCTCAAGGTCCTGGAGTGGCCTAGCCAGTCTCCAGCCCTGAACCCAATAGAAAATCTTTGGAAGGAGCTGAAAGTCCGTATTGCCCAGCGACAGCCCCGAAACCTGAAGGATCTGGAGAAGGTCTGTATGGAGGAGTGGGCCAAAATCCCTGCTGCAGTGTGTGCAAACCTGGTCAAGGTTTCTTTACCAAATATTAAGTTCTGCTTTTCTAATGGATCAAATACTTATGTCATGCAATAAAATGCAAATTAATTACTTTAAAATCATACAATGTGATTTTCTGGATTTTTGTTTTAGATTCCGTCTCTCACAGTTGAAGTGTATCTATGATAAAAATGACAGACCTCTACATGCTTTGTAAGTAGGATAACCTGCAAAATCGGCAGTGTATCAAATACTTGTTCTCCCCACTGTATACAAAGAAAAAGTGTAAAACTAAACTAAGTGCAGCTAGTTTGCGGTCTTTCCAGCTTCAGTTTGAAGTGATTGTGTTAGCTGTGTTGTTGGCTAGCTCCTCTGAACAACAGTGTCCTGACAAGTGAGCACATTTTCTATGCCAGGCGAAATCGCGCCTCATTAGCTCATTGTTATGGATGTATCCAAATAAATGTCACTAGAAAACAGCTTAAACAAATGCAATTGCAGCTACTTTGCTATTATTCTTGCTGCACTTTTTGACGTGACTGTAAGTTAGCCGTAGTTGGCTAGCTAGCATGCAAGCATAAGAAAGTTGCCAGCCAGTATGTCAATGGAACATTTAGAACGATCGACTGGGTCGCGTCCATAGATACAGAACAAAAAGACTGAACGACTGGCAACCGAACCGATAGAATGAACAACCAGCCAGCTTGGGTAGCAACCCTAGATTTGTGTCAGGACTATATCTTGTGGAAGGATCAAATAGTATAAATACAGTGGCTTGCGAAAGTATTCACCCCCCTTGGCATTTTTCCTATTTCGTTGCCTTACAACCTGGAATTAAAATAGATTTTTTGGGGGGTTGTATAATTTGATTTACACAAAATGCCTACCACTTTGAAGATGCAAAATAAGACAAAAAAACAGCAATCTTGAGCGTGCATAACTATTCACCCCCCCCCCCCCCCCAAAGTCAATACTTTGTAGTGCCACCTTTTGCAGCAATTACAGCTGCAAGTCTCTTGGGGTATGTCTCTATAAGCTTGGCACATCTAGCCACTGGGATTTTTGCCCATTCTTCAAGGTAAAACTGCTCCAGCTCCTTCAAGTTGGATGGGTTCCGCTGGTGTACAGCAACCTTTAAGTCATACCACAGATTCTCAATTGGATTGAGGTCTGGGCTTTGACTAGGCCATTCCAAGACATTTCAGTGTTTCCCCTTAAACCACTCGAGTGTTGCTTTAGCAGTATGCTTAGGGTCATTGTTCTGCTGGAAGGAGAACCTCCGTCCCAGTCTCAAATCTCTGGAAGACTGAAACAGGTTTCCCTCAAGAATTTCCCTGTATTTAGCGCCATCCATCATTCCTTCAATTCTGACCAGTTTCCCAGTCCCTGCCGATGGAAAAACATCCCCACAGCATGATGCTGCCACCACCATGCTTCACTGTGGGGATGGTGTTCTCGGGGTGATGAGAGGTGTTGGGTTTGCACCAGACATAGCGTTTTCCTTGATGGCCAAAACACTCAATTTTAGTCTCATCTGACCAGAGTACCTTCTTCCATATGTTTGGGAGTCTCCCACATGGCTTTTGGCGAACACCAAACGTGTTTGCTTCTTTTTTTCTTTAAGCAATGGCTTTTTTCTGGCCACTCTTCCGTAAAGCCCAGCTCTGTGGAGTGTACGTCTTAAAGTGGTCCTATGGACAGAAACTCCAATCTCCGCTGTGGAGCTTTATTTGCAGCTCCTTCAGGGTTATCTTTGGTCTCTTTGTTGTCTCTCTGATTAATGCCCTCCTTGCCTGGTCCGTGAGTTTTGGTGGTTTTGGTATTCTTTCAATTTTTTAATAATGGATTTAATGGTGCTCCGTGGGATGTTCAAAGTTTCGGATATCTTTCTATAACCCAACCCTGATCTGTACTTCTCCACAACTTTGTCACTGACCTGTTTGGAGAGCTCCTTGGTCTTCATGGTGCCGCTTGCTTGGTGTTGCAGACTCTGGGACCTTTCAGAACAGGTGTATATATACTGAGATCATGTGACAGATCATGTGACACTTAGAGTGCACACAGGTGGACTTTACTTAACTAATTATGTGACTTCTGAAGGTAATTGGTTGCACCAGATCTTATTTAGGGGCTTCATAGCAAAGGGGGTGAATACATATGCACACACCACTTTTCCGTTATTTATTTTTTAGAATTTTTTGAAGTTATTTTTTTCATTTCACTTCACCAATTTGGACTATTTTGTGTATGTCCATTACATGAAATCCAAATAAAAATCCATTTAAATTACAGGTTGTAATGCATCAAAATAGGAAAAACACCAAGGGGGATGAATACTTTTGCAAGGCACTGTAAATTCATAATAATAATGTTTATAATCAAAATGTGTCAATCATTATTTGAATATGTTGGGAACCCGTTGTATAAAATTGATAATGCCCTCCAAGCCGGTGTTTGGAGGATATAGTGGCACCGTGCCAATATATCCTCCAAACACCAGCTTGGAGGGCATTATCAATTCTCGGGCATTATCACTTAAGTGTCAACGAGTGTCCCGACGCTGCGTCTTCAATTATTCTGCGTCTTCAATTATTTCCAAGGTACTGTAAAGAACGTTGGCGTTCATCCCTTACTTAACCTCTCTCACTAACCCCAACCCATTGTCGCTTCATGCATTCTTCAAGTCTGCCTCAGACTATCTGACCCTCTTGTCCATCGCTGTAGAATACCCTTTATCGTTGCTTGCTTACTTTGTATGGCTGTGTGTGTGCGTGCATGTATGTGTGTCTTGCAGTGTTATCAGCCCCATTGATGGGAAGTCCATGGAGTCCATCAATAGTGTGAAGATGTTCCAGAAGTCAGAATACAAGGCCAATGGAAAGGTCATCCGCTGGACAGAGGTATGCCTAGTCTCTGGACCCAACAATAACTAGGGCACATCCAACTTTGCACCACTAGTCTTCACTCTTGTGTACTCTTACTCAAAGCCATTTCTCTCTGTACTGTATTCCCTAAGTACATGCTTATGTCTTGTGAGTCTCTTGTGTGTTGCACAGGTGTTTTTTGTGCAGAGAGGGGATCATTCTAAGAGCCAGAGTGACCACCATACAGAACACAGCCGGCTGACAGAGAGACTGGCCCGGGCATTCTGCTTGGCACTGTGCCCACACCTCAAGCTGCTGAAGGAAGATGGCATGGCCAAGCTGGGGCTGCGTATCACACTGGACTCCCACCAGGTGAGAGTGCCATTGGGTAGAATGAACATACTTGACTTAGATAATTTGGACCATTTAGATATTAAGAAATACAACTTTATGGAAACATCTTTGAAATTGTGCATCATCTGACTTTAATAGTTGTAGTAATTATTGAATGCCTAAGATGGGAGTTGTTGACCACCTTTTAATATGAAGTTATTATTCATGTAAATAGTAATGGGATATAGGCCTTCATAATATTACCAAAACTAGCAGTGAAAGCTATAGATGTGTGGTGGTTAACATCGATGTTTCATGTTCCAGGTGGGGTTTGTGGCCGGCAGTAATGGCCTGCCACTCCCAGCCCCGTACCTTAACACCCTGGACACCGTGCTGATCCCCATCATCCACAGCAGGGGGCGCAAGAGGAGCGAGGGACCCGTAGTCATGGAGCTCATCTTCTATATCCTGGAGAACATATCCTAGGGGAGGGGGTCAAAGTGCACACACTCATCTCCACATCGCACCATCCACTCACCATCCTCTCTCCTGGCTCTCCATTTGTGCTGCTGTGAGTTCGATAGAGCTACAAATCAGCATTGGTTGAAGGAGTAAGCTCATTCAATGGACATAAAAGCTCACCTCCAGGCTCTATATGTCTCAGCCAGCCTGTGGTAACGGGTGGCTGGGTGGTAAGTGGTCTGACTCACCAAAGCTGTTCCATAGGTCACCCTGCCTTGGCCTCTAACTCAGCAGCAGAAAGAAATGCCACCCTCATGTTGTTTTTCCACTGTCAGGCTTTGTACCAGTGTCACCAGTGCTACTATGGAATAACACCAAAACACACACATGAAACCCAAAAGGGGCCATGAGATCAGGGTATAGTAATCTGCTTCATTTCGTGGCTTGAGACCAGTACGTCTGTATATTTTCAATAGAAATGCCCATATTTTGAGAATGCCTTTAAACTGGGGACTGGATTCAGTTCCAGACCTTAAAAATCAATGGGAAAAAGAGAATGACTTCAAAAGTAATATATCAGTAGATCTGTAGCTAGCCGTTTGATGCATACTGAATGAATGAATGTTTAAGAATGTTTTCATATTTGAATGTATTTGAATTCCTCTTGATTGCCCCTGAAATGCATTACTGTCAACCTAGGATTAATTAAACATTATATTAACACAAGGACATCATACAAGGTTTTGATTTTTAAACCAAATCAGATTTTATTGGTCGTGTACACATATTTTGCAGATGTTATCTCAGATGCAGCGAAATGCTTATGTTTCTAGCTCCAACAGTGCAGTAATTCCGAACAATACAAAACAATACACACAAATCCCAAAAAATTAAAATCAAGAAATATCAGAACAAGCAATGTCAGTCCGGAATATAAATATATATGTATATGATGGTGTATAGACAGTATATGAATAGACAAGGTGTGTACAGTAGTAGTTATATAGGATGAGCCTTGACTAGAATACAGTGTATACAGTTTACATATGAAATGGGTAAAACAGTATGTAAACATAATTAAAGTGACCAGTGTTCAATGACTATGTACATCGGGCAGCAGTCTCTAAGGTGCAGGGTAGAGTAACGGGTGGTAGCCGGCTAGTAACAGTGACTAAGTTCAGAGCAGGGTACTGAGCAGAGGCCGGCTAGTGGTGACTATTTAACAGTCTGATGGCCTGGAGATAGAAGCTGTTTTTCAGTCTCTCGGTCCCAGCTTTGATGCACCTGTACTGTCTCCGCCTTCTAGATAGTAGCGGGAAGAAAAGGCCGTGGCTCGGGTGGCTGAGGCCCTTGATGATCTTCCAGGTGGTGATACAGCCATACACGATGCTCTCAATGGTGCATCTGTAGAAGTTCGTGAGGATCTTAGGGGCCAACCCGAATTTCTTCATCCACCCGAGGATCTCAGTGATGTGCACGCCGAGGAAGTTCAAGCTTTTCACCCTCTCCACTGTGGCCCTGTTGATTTGGATGGGGGCGTGCTCTCTCTGCTGTCTCCTGAATTCCACAATCAGCTCCTTCGTTTTGTTGAGGGAGAGGTTATTTTCCTGGCACCACTCAGCCAGGGCCCTCACCTCCTCCCTGTTTGGTAATCAGGCCTACCATTGTTGTATCGTCTGCAAACTTGATGATTAAGTGGGAGACGTCCATGGTCACGCTGTCATGGGTGAACAGGGAGTACAGGAGGGGGCTGAGCACGCACCCTTGTGGGGCTCCTGTGTTGAAGGTCAGTGTAGCGGAGGAGTTGTTGCTTACCTTCACCACCTGGGGTCCAGGACCCAGTTGCACAGGGCGGGGTTCAGACCCAGCGCCCCAAGCTTAGTAATGAGCTTTTGCCACATTTTGTTACGTTACAGCCTTATTCTAAAATTGGTGTAAAAAAAAAATTCCCCTCATCAATCTACACACTATAACCCATAATGACACAGCAAAAACAGGTTTTTAGAAATAACACATTTACATAAGTATTCAGACACTTTACTCAGTACTTTGTTGAAGCACCTTTAGCAGCGATTACAGCATTGTGTCTTCTTGGTTATGATGCTACAAGCTTGGCACACCTGTATTTGGGGAGTTTCTCCAATTCTTCTCTGCAGATCCTCTCAAGCTCTGTCAGGTTGGATGGGGAGCATCGCTGCACAGCTATTTTCAGGTCTCTCCAGAGATGTTCCATCGGGTTCAAGTCTGGGCTCTGGCTGGGCCACTCAAGGACATTCAGAGACTTGTCCCGAAGCCACTCCTGCATTGTCTTAACTGTGTGCTTAGGGTCGTGGTCCTGTTGGAAGGTGAACCTTTGCCCCAGTCTGAGGTCCTGAGTGCTTTGGAGCAGGTTTTCATCAAGGATCTCTCTGTACTTTGCTCCGTTCATCTTTCCCTCGATCCTGACTAGTCTCCCAGTCCCCACTGCTGAAAAACATCCCCACAGCATGATGATGCTGCCACCACCATGCTTCACCATAGGGATGATGCCAGGTTTCCTCCAGATGTGAAGCTTGGCATTCAGGCCAAAGAGTTCAATCTTGGTTTCATTAGACCAGTGAATCTTGTATCTCATGGTCTGAGAGTCCATTAGGTGCCTTCTGGCAAACTCCAAGCGGGCTGTCATGTGCCTTTTACTGAGGAGTGTCTTCCGCTGGCCACTCTACCATAAAGGCCTGATTGGTGGAGTGCTGCAGAGATGGTTGTCCTTCTGGAAGGTTCTCCCATCTCCACAGAGGAACTCTGGAGCTCTGTAAGAGTGACCATCGGGTTCTTGGTCACTTCCCTGACCAAGGCCCTTCTCCCCCGATTGCTCAGTTTGGCCGGGCGGCCAGCTCTAGCAAGAGTCTTGGTGGTTCCAAACTTCTTCTATTTAAGAATGATGGAGGCCACTGTGTTCTTGGGGACCTTCAATGCTGCAGAAATGTGTTGGTACCCTTCCCCAGATCTGTGCCTCGACACAATCTTGTCTCGGAGCTCTACGGACAATTCCTTCGACCTCATGGCTTGGTTTTTGCTCTGACATGCACTGTCAACTGTGGGACCTTATATAGACAGATGGGAGAAACTCCCCAAATACAGGTGTGCCAAGCTTGTAGCGTCATATCCAAGAAGACTCGAGGCTGTAATCGCTACCAAAGGTGCTTCAACAAAGTACTGAGTAAATGGTCTCTGAATACTTATGTAAATGTTATATTTCAGTGTTTTTTTGTTATTTGTTTAGCAAAATTTCTATAAACCTGTTTTTATTTTGTCATTATGGGGTATTGTGTGTAGATTGATGAGGGGGTAAAAACAATTTAATCAATTTTAGAATAAGGCTGTAACCTAACAACATGTGGAAAAAGTGAAGGGGTCTGAATACTTTCCGAAGGCACTGTATATTTCACAGCGGTTTAGATGTACAATGTTTCTCTACACAATAACTGCTTGCTTTGTCACTTAAACTGAAATTAGGCAAACTATTACACTTTTATCAACCAGGAAATGGCGCCGCGATTTCTGTGTATGTATTTGATAAAAGTTGAGACTCAGAGCTAGAGAATGGTAGTTCATACTCTGCAGTTGAGGAACAAATGGGAAAGTAATTCTGCTTTGAAAGTTGATAAACTTGTAACCCCACTTTTGAGAAAATGGTCCTTGAATGTTTTGGGACACCTACTGGAGAGCTCTTCTTTGTCTACACACATTCAGCATCGTTCACACCCTCTTAAGCCTTAGCCCCACCCATCGCTTTAAGGATTCACATGAGGCCATGTGCTAAACAGTGAGTACGGTAGTGTACAACCAAAGATTTCAAGACTAAAGGCTGGTTTATACTACTTCCATCGACATGTCTGTATACAGTTGTCCCAGTGACATCATGAACATTCTATTATCGTCCGACATCAAACTTGTCGTTGTCATTATGAAAAAGTATAAACACAAAAACGACAAAAGCAGCCTTGGGGTCCAAAATAGCATAACTGCTGCATTTTAACACCAATAAACCTATCTGTTTTAAAAATGAATTCAGTACATGTCAATCTAGCAAACCAGGCAACTAAAAGCAACTTTCTAAACAATGTTTTTGGTTAGTTTCTAGCTTGTTAGAAGGTGTAAACGGTACAATAAAATGGTTACTTGCATATTGGAGTCTTTTGTTTAGACGAACTTTAATCCCAACTCATAACGTTACTACCCTACATGAATCTACAGGTAGCTAAAGCTAACCAACTAGCAAGGTTCAATGTTAGCTAGCTAGCTAACATTAGGCTATAACTAGCAATGCAAATGGCTCTGAGATACGAGTAACATTACTACACAGATTATACACGTAACGTTAGCTAGCCAGCCAGGCAGCCAGCCAGCTAACGTTAGCTAGCTAGCTAACAGTATGCTTTAACTTGCAATGAAATCGACTTTCTGACAAAATTGGAAACGTATAAATATCTGAAAATGTAGCTAGCTAGACTCTCTTACCCGTATACATGGATGAACACTTCTCCCTCTCTTTCATGGATGCCATGGTAGCCCTTAGTTTGAAGATGTAATCCAGACAGGTGTTTTATACAACAGCCTTCAGTGTTCTCTTTTCGACTCCCTCCGCATTTGCAATCAAATGTCTGAATTTTCTCAATCTCCTTAGCTATCATACTCTGCTTCCACCGGGCATTCCACTGATTTCAAAACTCGGTCACCCAGAAAGTGGAGAGCCTTAGCAACACTTCTGCAGTTCTTTGTGATATCTTTCAAAAAAGCCACTTTAGAAAGTATTACCTACACATACTAAGCAGCTCATGTTATAGACAGACGCGTGCTACATGGCAGACCAATCCGAACCCATCTCTCGGTATGTCCAGACCATCCATTATCTCAGCCAATCATGGCTAGCGGGAAGGTTCCTGTCTTTTTCCATGGCTAAATCAACTAAGCTCGTAATTTAACAATTGTATTCGTATTTACAGATGGCATACAAGTTTGTTTTTAAGGCACATTAAAGTTCACATGTTCCAGAAGGCATTTTTGCCCCCAAACTAATTTTGATAAAATAAAATAAATTACGTTCAAATGTCTCTCCTGTGAATTAGTGATGCACGACATATACCTAGTTTCCTGAAATGAGTCACATATTGCACATTTAAGTAACCTTCTTTCTTATGTAACCATACCAAAGGTAACATATCATACTAATTTGAATGTCCCGGATTTACATTGACTATGTTACGTCTAGTCTATCGGACCAGGCTGCCTACACACACTGCAGCAGTGCGCCCTGTCCATTGTGTTGACACACTGCAGCGGAGGTACAGATTTTTGGGGCGCCAACCTGTCATTCAATCTTTTAACTTTTAGGCTATTTTTATATAGTGACATAAAACTAAAACTGAGGGGGATAAAGTTTGAACTGAGGGGGCTTAGCCCTCTTTAGCCCCCTCGTGGTGCCGGGCCCGCGCCGAATACAACTGGTGTAGACTTTACTATGAAATGCTTGCTTATGAGCCCTTCCCAACAATGCAGAGATTAAAAATAATAACACAAATAAAATAGTAACACAAGAGGAATAAAATAAAATACACAAGAATGTAGATATATACAGGGGGTACCAGTACCAGATCAATGTACAGAGGTACGAGGTATTTGAGGTAGATACTGAATGTACATGAAGGTAGGGTAAAGTGACTAGGCATCAGGATAGATAATAATAAGAGTAAAATAAAGAACAGAGTAGCAGCAGCAAATTAGGATAAAAGTGTGTGTGTGTTTGTGTTGTGTCGGTATGTGTGTGTGTGCGTATGTAGTGTATGTGAATGTGTGTGGGTGTGTCAATGTAGTGAGTGTGTATACAGTGTGTATACTGTATATAGTGTGCGTAGGGTCAGTGCAAGACAGAGTTAGTGCAGATCGTTCAGTACCAATAATTGACTATTTAGCAGTCTGGCTATTTAGCAGTCTTGTGGCTTGGGGTAGAAGCTGTTGCTGAGCCTGTTGGTCCGAGAGCCGATGCTCTGGTACCGTTTGCCAGACGGTAGCAGATTGAACAGTCCATGGCTTGGGTGGCTGGAGTCTTTGGCATATTTTTCGGGTCTTCCTCTGACATTGCCTGATATAGAGGTCCTGGATGGCAGGGAACTCGGCTCCAGTGATGTACTGGGCTGTCCGCATCACCATCTGTAGCACTTTGCGGTCAAGGGCGGTGCATTTTCCATATTCAGCCAGTCAAGATGCTCTTGATGGTGCAGCTGTAGAACTTTTTGAGGATCCCATGCCAAATCTTTTCAGCCTCCTGAGGGGGACTGTGCGGGTGTGTGTGGACCATGTTAAGTCCATAGTGATGTGGACGCCAAGGAACTTAAAGCTCTCGACACTCTCCACAACAGCCTCGTCGATGTGGATGGGGGCATGCTGTTTCCTGATCTTTCTTATATCTCTCAGATATAGGACAGATGCTTCAGAACAAACTTCCTTTAGATTTGTTTTGGGGGGGGCTATCTGTTGTTTGTACAGGCAAATAGCAGTAAGGCTAAAAATATTTTTATATATTTGTTATACTTCGAAGGGTCTTAAAATTCTACATCAAATAGCAAAATGAGCCTTGGTATGACATTCTTAAAACAATTCCATATAGCTTAGTATAACCCCCCCTATTTAGACAGGGCTTAGACTCTTATGGGTTAAATTCAGAAAGGATGTTTGTGGGAAAATACATTATGACATCTTTCTGTTTTCTCAATGACAAATTCAGATTGAAAAAAAGCACAAGTTTAAGTTTGTTCCACCTGAGCGAGTCTGACCACAAGTCAGATACCACTATTAAGAAATACCAAATGCACATTTCTGTTTTCTCAATTACAATAAATTCAGATTGGGGAAAAAAAGCGCAATTTTAGTTTGTTCCACCTGAGCGAGTCAGAGACCACTATTATGACACACCAAATGCATTCAATGGTTTCTTTTTGTCTTCTTCTAATGCCTGTTAAGGGGAAAGTAATCCAAAAGAAAAGGAAAATAATCAGATTACGTTACTGAGTTTGGGTAATCCAAAAGTTACGTTACTGATTACAATTTTGGACAGGTAACTAGCAACTGTAACAGATTACAATTAGAAAGTAACCTACCCAACTCTGTGTGCAGTGCACTTGTCACCAGCTCAAAGTCAAACTCATATACAGTGAGGGAAAAAAGTATTTGATCCCCTGCTGATTTTGTAAGTTTGCCCACTGACAAAGACATGATCAGTCTATAATTTTAATGGTAGGTTTATTTTTACAGTGAGAGACAGAATAACAACAACAAAATCCAGAAAAACACGTCAAAAATGTTATAAATTGATTTGCATTTTAATGAGGGAAATAAGTATTTGACCCCTCAGCAAAACATGACTTAGTACTTGGTGGCAAAACCCTTGTTGGCAATCACAGAGGTCAGACGTTTCTTGTAGTTGGCCACCAGGTTTGCACACATCTCAGGAGGGATTTTGTCCCACTCCTCTTTGCAGATCTTGTCCAAGTCATTAAGGTTTCGAGGCTGACGTTTGGCAACTCAAACCTTCAACTCCCTCCACAGATTTTCTATGGGATTAAGGTCTGGAGACTGGCTAGGCCACTCCAGGACCTTAATGTGCTTCTTCTTGAGCCACTCCTTTGTTGCCTTGGCCGTGTGTTTTGGGTCATTGTCATGCTGGAATACCCATCCATGACCCATTTTCAATGCCCTGGCTGAGGGAAGGAGGTTCTCACCCAAGATTTGACGGTACATGGTGCCGTCCATCGTCCCTTTGAGGTGGTGAAGTTGTCCTGTCCCTTTAGCAGAAAAACACCCCCAAAGCATAATGTTTCCACCTCCATGTTTGATGGTAAACATGGACGTCTTGTGGTAATAGGCAGCATTCCTCCTCCTCCAAACACGGCGAGTTGAGTTGATGCCAAAGAGCTCAATTTTGGTCTCATCTGACCACAACACTTTCACCCAGTTCTCCTCTGAATCATTCAGATGTTCATTGGCAAACTTCAGACCGCCCTGTATATGTGCTTTCTTGAGCAGGGGGACCTTGTGGGCGCTGCAGGATTTCAGTCCTTCACGGCGTAGTGTGTTACCAATTGTTTTCTTGGTGACTATGGTCCCAGCTGCCTTGAGATCATTGACAAGATCCTCCCGTGTAGTTTTGGGCTGATTCCTCACCGTTCTCATGATCATTGCAACTCCACGAGGTGAGATCTTGCATGGAGCCCCAGGCCGAGGGAGATTGACAGTTCTTTTGTGTTTCTTCCATTTGCGAATAATCGCACCAACTGTTGTCACCTTCTCACCAAGCTGCTTGGCGATGGTCTTGTAGCCCATTCCAGCCTTGTGTAGGTATACAATCTTGTCCCTGACATCCTTGGAGCACTCTTTGGTCTTGGCCATGGTGGAGAGTTTGGAATCTGATTGATTGATTGCTTCTGTGGACAGGTGTCTTTTATACAGGTAACAAACTGAGATTAGGAGCACTCCCTTTAAGAGTGTGCTCCTAATCTCAGCTCGTTACCTGTATAAAAGACACCTGGGAGCCAGAAATCTTTCTTATTGAGAGGGGGTCAAATACTTATTTCACTCATTAAAATGCAAATCAATTTATAACATGTTTGACATGCGTTTTTCTGGATTTTTTTGTTGTTATTCTGTCTCTCACTGTTCAAATAAACCTACCATTAAAATTATAGACTGATCATTTCTTTGTCAGTGGGCAAATGTACAAAATCAGCAGGGGATCAAATACTTTTTTCCCTCACTGTATCATGTGTTTGACCTAGCCCAACCCTGAACCAGGCCCCCTCTCCCACATGGAGAAAGCTGTGGGCTGGGTGCTGACACTGATCGGTCGGCAAGGCGCTCTGCTCCCCGGGTCTTCCGATGCATCTCATCAAACAAAGCAGAATGGGCCTCTTGTTTACCTCCTACATGCTTGACATAGTTGAGATGGTTGAGATAACACTACAAGGCAGGCATGCTACTGGAAATGCATTCATACCCATCTGAAACAAAACACTGTTTTATTCACTTTGAGCCTAGTTCCAAAACAATTCAGCATTATGACGATAAGCATTATGTAAAACCAAGTGTGCCTATATGACCAGAGCATTATCTAGTTCATGAGAAAGTATGGCAAGGTTCAATCTCATAAGCATGGGACTATAAAGCAAAGATGTCAATTAGCATTTCTCAAATAGTTGAACTTATGAATTGAATCACTTAGCAGCCTCCAGCTACCAAGTAATTAACAGGACACCTTTATAAGACCTGACACTGTGCAGATTAGATTACTTAAGAAAACAAATGGCTTGTACAAATATATTCCTGGGCAAAAGTTGCACTTTTAAACTTTTCTGAGGATAGAAGGGAAGAGAGACCCACTATAGAGATGAGGCCATTGGTTAACCATTATTCTAAGTACTTGGTCATTGTCAGTCATTGAGCTTCAGGGAAGGCTTTACAGCTTTCATAGCCATAATGCGTTTTTAATGCAGACTGAAATGTGTCAACTTAACTTGTGTGCAAAAGGTTTTTTGAACGCTTTCAACCTTTGGGACTATTTAAAAGCTACTGTATTCAACGAAGGTTCAAATTGTCATTAACATTTCCACAGGTAAGACCAGTTACATAAAATGTAATTTATTGGTATTTCATTTAACAGCATACCAACAGCATACCAATTTCATTAGTTGTTTTTGACGGTAAAACTATTTACAAAGGTGTGTTCAAATTTGATGATAGAAATTGTACAGTGTCATCTGTCTACAGGGGGTCAGAGGGACATGATCGGGTGGCGACAGGTGTTTGTGCGCACATGTACGTACAGTATGTAACCTTCGTAGTCTTCGTTGGCAACATCAGTGAAGATAACATTAGGTCATAATAACATGTCTTCTCTTCATACATTGTGTTCCATAGTTAGTTTCCCATTTTAAAGAAAAAAACTGTTAATGTGGGACCCCAACTGAGGAAATCATTGACCACATCATTTTCCCAGGTTGTTGTGCGGAATAAAACTTAACGATCAGAAAATAAATATAACCAAAACATTATTTGGAATCCATTGTAGTTTGTGCGGGATCTCATATTCATGCGTCTTGGGTGTTATTTTCCGAAGATCCTAGGACTTCTTCATTTTTCCTGCATGGGCACTGCCATTTTTGTGGTGACTGGAACTGTTGCTGGTGCCATTGCTGGTACTGTTCTCATGGTACTTGCCATTGGCGACCAAGGTGGTCCCGTTGGCCTTGTCGTTGAGGCTGGGATTGGTATCCTGCTTGGGCAACCTCTTGCCCTTTACGTAAGCCTGGTACCAGAAGTTGGAGAAAAGCACAAAGAAGAAGGTGCCGTACATCCAGATGAGGTGGATGAACAGGGGGACCTGGTAGTCACAGCTCTTCATGAAGTAATACTGGGTGGCGTGAAGTGACACCATCACAAACTGAACCTGTTGGATAGAGTTGGTGGAATGATGAGGAACAATATGGGGATGGATGTTCTGAAATGACACAGTGCTTGCACTGATCAACAATGGTATTTACTACTTTAGTATTCTGCATCTACAACAGTCCAAAAAATCTAGTAAAGGTAGCCTTTTAGAGAAACAACTAAAAACTAAATGGCCACGAAGACCTGGCAAAAGCTAACTACTCATAGTACAAATCCATACAGGAAATGACAAAGCCATATACATCCATTCAAACTAACAAAAACATACAGTGCCTTGCAAAAGTATTCATCCCCCTTGGCGTTTTTCCTATTTTGTTGCATTACAACCTGTAATGTAAATTGATTTTTATTTGGATTTCATGTAATGGACATACACAAAATAGTCCAAATTGGTGAAGTGAAATGAAAAATTAACTTGTTTCAAAAAATTCTAAAAAATAAATAACGGAAAAGTGATGTGTGCATACAGTATGTATTCACCCCCTTTGCTATGAATACCCTAAATAAGATCTAGTGCAACCAATTACCTTCAGAAGTCACATAATTAGTTAAATAAAGTCCACCTGTGTGCAATCTAAGTGTCACATGATCTGTCACTTGATCTCAGTATATATACACCTGTTCTGAAAGGCCCCGGAGTCTGCAACACCACTAAGCAAGGGGCACCACCAAGCAAGCGGCACCATGAAGACCAAGGAGCTCTCCAAACAGGTCAGGGACAAAGTTGTGGAGAAGTACAGATCAGGGTTTGGTTATAAAAAAAATATCTGAAACTTTGAACGTTCCACGGAGCATCATTAAATCCATTATTAAAAAATGGAAAGAACATGGCACCACAACAAACCTGCCAAGAGAGGGCTGCCCACCAAAACTCACAGACCAGGCAAGGAGGGCATTAATCAGAGAGGCAACAAAGAGACCAAAGATAACCCTGAAGGAGCTGCAAAGCTCCACAGCGGAGATTGGAGTATCTGTCCATAGGACCACATTAAGCCGTACACTCCACAGAGCTGGGCTTTACGGAAGAGTGGCCAGAAAAAAAGCCATTGCTTAAAGAAAAAAATAAGCAAACACGTTTGGTGTTCGCCAAAAGGTATATGGGAGACTCCACAAATATATGGAAGAAGGTACTCTGGTCAGATGAGACTAAAATTGAGCTTTTTGGCCATCAAGGAAAACGCTATGTCTGGTGCAAGCCCAACAACTCTCATCACCCCGAGAACACCATCCCCACAGTGAAGCATGGTGGTGGCAGCATCATCCTGTGGAGATGTTTTTCATCGGCAGGGACTGGGAAACTGGTCAGAATTGAAGGAATGATGGATGGCGCTAAATACAGGGAAATTCTTGAGGGAAACCTGTTTCAGTCTTCCAGAGATTTGACACTGGGACAGAGGTTCACCTTCCAGCAGGACAATGACCCTAAGCATACTGCTAAAGCAACACTTGAGTGGTTTAAGGGGAAACATTGAAATGTCTTGGAATGGCCTAGTCAAAGCCCAGACCTCAATCCAACTGAGAATCTGTGGTATGACTTAAAGATTGCAGTACACCAGCGGAACCCATCCAACTTGAAGGAGCTGGAGCAGTTTTGCCTTGAAGAATGGGTACAAATCCCAGTGGCTAGATGTGCCAAGCTTATAGAGACATACCCCAAGAGACTTGCAGCTGTAATTGCTGCAAAAGGTGGCTCTGCAAAGTATTGACATTTTTTTGTGTCTTATTTTGCATCTTCAAAGTGGTAGGCATGTTGTGTAAATCAAATGATACAAACCCCCAACATTTTTTAATTCCAGGTTGTAAGGCAACAAAATAGGAAAAATGCCAAGGGGGGTGAATACTTTCGCAAGACACTGTACCAGCTGGATGGCGGTCATGTACTTCTTCCACCAGAGGAACTTCTGGAATCGTGGTCCAGCCGCAGACAGGCCGTAGTAGGAGTACATGATGATGTGGACGATGGAATTCACCATGGCATGGAAAGAGCCCATTCCCCCTGGGGTAAAACACACAGAACACATCAAACCAACCCTGCCCACATTCCACTGGATCCACCAACAACATACTTGTCTTCTAAGAGTTTATTTAAATTAATGATTGAATGGGTGATGAGCTGTTTCTGGTCTATATTAACAGCTAATACATGACAGTCATTTATGTAGTTTCAGGATTCCTTCTGGGGTAAGCATGTAATCACGGGTAACACAAACACAATTTTAGAAGGCATGGACTTTTGGACTACTACACTTTAATTGAAAAGCTCAATTTTCTCCCAATTGTTTGTCTACTGCAAGTGGAATTGTCTTCCCACCATTTCACACACCCAGTATTACAATACCGGTCGGTAACATGACGATAAATGTTTTCTATTTTGAAATGTCAAAAGTTGAACTAGTATTCCAGCTGACTGGTAGCAGGCCAGGCAGTAGTGTGGACTGACCGGGAGCGAAGCTGACGCCCCACCACCAGGTCCAGGGCATGAAGGAGTGGTGGAAGACGTGCAGGAATGTGATCTGGCCGTGTTTCTTCCTCAGAACGAAGAACACCTGACCCAAAGAGAGAAACACGTCAAATTCAGCGATGATCACCTCAACGTGAACAGAGGGAGTGTTAGAGATGATTGAGACATATTTGTATAAAAGACAGAACATACAGAGCTCCATGTACGTGTGTGGAAATATATCACATATGAATGTATATGATGAAATATTAGGTACGTACCTTTCTGATTTATATTTACCTGATTGAGATATATTCCTTTGTTATTAGTGTAACTTAGTTTTTAGCTCCCCCTCTTGCCCATTCATTGTACTGTGGTAAGTGTGTTAGTGATAGGATAGAGGCAGGAAGTTGGGCCTTCGGGGGGAGGGGAGTCCTAGCTAGATGTGGGAGTGGTATATTCTTTTGACCATACATACACAATATGGCCTGTTTATATACATGTATTTTTCATGTCAAGTAATCTATGCTTTAAGTTGATTGGAAAATCATTTTTTGTTAGATATAAGAAGAATAAACCTTTTTTGTGTTGCACCATATCCCTGGATCCCATTGAATGTTTTTGCCGTTTGGAAACTTCGAATGTGGACTGTATGCGTCCGAAACAACCCCGCTTCAGACTTGGGCAGTGGCTATGGTCAATTGGTAAGGAAGCCACTACAGGGAGAGACTGGGGAAATCCAAATCTAAAAGAAATAATCTGAAGTCTTACCGTGTCCAAGAGCTCAATGAATTTGGAGAACAAGAACAACCAGGCCACTCGAACCATCTAGTAAGGGAACAAAACATGAAAAGGTGAGAATTTGGACAAAACAGTCTAAAGATAGTATTGACACAGTGGATCAGTAGGAATATATAAGAATGTTGACCTTTTCATGCATACTTTCTTTCAAAGAAGATGCATCTCATGACCATTACGGGGAAACCATGTGTGAAGCGAAGATTCAACACTTACTCTAAGGCCTTGGGGGCTGTCCGAGTAATCAATTGCGTCACATCTCCATGTGTATGTTGTGGCCCAGCCAGACATCAAGAACTAAGAATACAAGAGGACAAAATCAGTTTAGACATGCTGTAGCTACCGGTAGTCAAACTAGATTGGTAGATTGGAAAGGACCCACACTGTTATTGACTATATGGGAGTATATCGGTCATCTTCATGTAAATCTCAAATCTTATTTACCTCTGTGCCTCCCGTCTATCTAGGCAATAGTAATTTAGCTAGTGTTCCAATTATCCAACACACTCTGGCCAAGGAGGCGAATGACCCATTTAGATAGAGCTGCCACATACCAAACACCCAATATACTGCCAGGGAATGACTGGCTCCAAGTTCTGTAGAGATGCCTCTCAAAAGAACCAATCAAGAACCCTGATCTTTGAGAAACAAGAGCTTTGCTTCACAGTGTCTCACCTCATAGACAATAAAGGTTGACATCGCCACCATGGTAAAGTTGTAGGTGATCATGGCCTCCTTGAGCTGAAAGGGCTTCCTGTTGGCCATGAAGCGAGGCCCAGCGACCAGCACGAAGAAGATGTAGGTCAGCAAGATGGCCGTCATGTTCACCGGACTCTGCATGAGTGGGTAGCCCCACAATCGCGGGTCTGAGAAATAAAACATTCTCAGAGTTGTGAAAATACACTACAGAACAGGTCTATGACCAATAAGTCATGTACAGCTTTCAAAGTACACAAAGCAGAGGTATAGTAAGGTAATTAACTATGTAGAAAAATAAATCCCTCACCTGTTCCCTTCAAGAGGAACTCGTAGACCTCCATGGTTCTAGCACCAATGTCCTGGAGCATTTTGACTAGCTTCCCCCTGTGGTATCACTACCCAATCACCTGTGGAAGAGCAAATTGATTAGTCATGATGTCATTTTAATACTAGCTACTTGTCACGCCCTGGCTCTGGGGACTCTTAAATGTTGAGCCAGGGTGTGGAGTTTCTATGTTGTATTTTCTATGTTGTGTTTTCTAGATCGTGTGGATCTATGTTGGCCAGGGTGGTTCCCAATCAGAGGCAGCTGTAACTCGTTGTCTCTGATTGGGGACCATACTTAGGCAGCCTGTTTGGCACTAGTCGGTGTGGGATCTTGTTCCGTTTAGGTTTGTGTTGTGTAACCTAGGACTTCACGTATCGTTTGTTTGTTGTTTTGTTGTGAGTTAAGTACTAAATAAAATGTACGCTTATCACGCTGCGCCTTGGTCCGTATCTTCAGTAAACGAACGTGACACTACTACACTCAGCAATTACAATATACCGTATATAGAGGTAAGTGTAATATGCTACTGCAATACCCTTACGTACTGACTTACAGTGCATTCGGAAAGTATTCAGACCTTTTCCACATTTTGTTACATTACAGCCTTATTCTAAAATGGATTAAATAAAAAAAGTGTCCTCATCAATCTACATACAATACGCCATAATGACAAAGTGACACATTTATTCAAAATAAAAACAGAAATACCTTATTTACATAAGTATTCAGACCCTTTGCTATGAGACTTGAAATTGAGCACAGGTGCATCCTGTTTCCATTGATCATCCTTGAGATGTTTCTACAACTTCATTGGAGTCCACCTGTGGTAAATTATATTGATTGGACATGATTTGGAAAGGCACACACCTGTCTATATAAGGTCCCACAGTTGACAGTGCATGTCAGAGCAAAAACCAAGCCATGAGGTCGAAGGAATTGTCCGTAGAGCTCCGAGACAGGATTGTGTCGAGGAACATATCTGGGGAAGGGTACCAACACATTTCTGCAGCATTGAAGGTCCACCAAGAACACAGTGGCCTCCATCATTCTTAAATGGAAGAAGTTTGGAAACACCAAGACTCTTCCTAGAGCTGGTTGCTCGGCCAACCTGAGTAATCGGGGGAGAAGGGCCTTGGTCAGGGAGGTGACCAAGAACCCGATGGTCACTCTGACAGAGCTCCAGAGTTCCTCTGTGGAGATGGGAGAACCTTCCAGAAGGACAACCATCTCTGCAGCACTCCACCAATCAGGCCTTTATGGTAGAGTGGCCAGACGGAAGACACTCCTCAGTAAAAGGCACATGACAGCCCGCTTGGAGTTTGCCAAAAGGCACCTGAAGTACTCTCAGACCATGAGAAACAAGATTCTCTGTGAAACCAAGTTTGAACTCTTTGGCCTGAATGGCAAGCGTCACGTCTGGCGGAAACCTGGCACCATCCCTACGGTGAAGCATGCTGGTGGCAGCATCATGCTATGGGGATGTTTTTCAGCGGCAGGGACAGGGAGACTAGTCAGGATTGAGGGAAAGATGAATGGAGAAAAGTACAGAGAGATCCTTGATGATAACCTGCTCCAGAGCGCTCAGGACCTCAGACTGGAGCAAAGGTTCACCTTCCAACAGGACAACGAAACTCCCCAAATACAGATGTGCCAAGCTTGTAGCGTCATACCCAAGAAGACTCGAGGCTGTAATCGCTGCCAAAGGTGCTTCAACAAAGTACTGAGTAAAGGGTCTGAATACTTATGTAAATGTAATATTTCCGTTTTTTATTTTAAATACATTTGCAAAAAATTCTAAAAACCTGTTTTTGCTTCGTCATTATAGGGTATTGTGTGTAGATTGATGAGGGGGAAAAACAGTTTAATCCATTTTAGAAAAAGGCTGTAATGTAACAAAATGTGGAAAAAAGTCAAGGGGTCTGAATACTTTCTAAATGCACTGTATATGCTATGCTATAGCAATACCTTAATGTACTGACTTTACAATGTCATTACAGTGTCATTACCCAAACATCAGTCATGGTATTAAACATAACAGGGCTACCTGCATCAAATTATTAATTTTGTATTTGTCAAAACCATCAACCCTTGTTACTCCCAAACACATCAAATACAATAGAACGTCATAGCATAGCACTACTATGGCATCACTTTACAGCTGGTATTTTATTTGGTTTCCTGACATGAGAGAATGAGAAAGGAAATGTGTGCAGTTGATGGTCCTTGTTCAGCAGCAGAGTGCTCTGGTTCTGAACAACTATCACTGACCCAAACGGGTTGTCATCACTGACCCAGCTTTCCACATTCTGCCCCCCACATCCCAGCATACCTTGTTCCTGTCCCGGCCGCTCGGCAGACATGGCCTGACAGTAGAGGGGAGGGGCTACAGCGGACAGATAAGCATCTCCATCCCACAGCACAGAGGCAGCCCTCGCCTCAGTTTGGGACTGCCAAGTACAGGAACCAGGCCAAAACACAGAACAATGGAAAAACTCTCCCTCTCTGCTCTCCCAAAATGACCCCGACCATGAGAGAGAGAAGGCAAAGGCAACAGTCTTTGATGTTTAAATTTGTTCTAAACCGGACTCAAGAGATCAAGGTGCAGACATAACTACACTGACTGAAGAAGGGAGATCAAACAGGCTTATTTAAAGACACGTTACCTCTGGAAACAAACAGCATAACACAGGTTTGACGGTTTTACCTCAAGGTTTATAAGGATAATTGGACTGAAGACAGTTGTTCCACAGACTGACACTTTTACCTCAGGTTTATCAGGAGAATTTGACTGAACTCAACGACCTGCAACTTTTATCATCTACCAAACTAGAAGTACTTAATAAAACAAACAGTAACCATCTGATATTTGGATGAAAATGAAATACTTTGATAAAGTAAAAAAGTAAAGCTGTAAACATTTGTGTTAATATGTTAGTTGTTGTTGAAAACAAGGAATGGTTTTTCAAACATGAACAGGTTTGTGTGTGTGTGTGTGTGTGTGTGTGTGTGTGTGTGTGTGTGTGCGTGTGTGCATGTGAGTGTGAGTGTGTGAATGTTGCTGACTTTCAGATGGAGTTTCATGACTCAGAGTTTTGACAAGCAGGTCTGAACCAATCATAGACATCCTATGTTTCACAAGTTTGGACAGCACAGTATACAGTAGAGCACAGCAGAGTACAGAACAGTAAAGAAAAGAAAAGTAGAGTGTATTCAGTACAGTAGAGTAGAGTACAGTAGGGCACAGTAAAGTAGAGTTTAGTTCAGTACAGTAGAGCACAGTAGGATACAGTACAGTAAAGTACTGTAGAGTATGGTTCAGTGCAGTAGAGTAGAGTATAGCACAGTAGGGTGGAGCAGGGGTTCCCAAACCTTTTCACTTGGGGCCCCCCTTCCAGCATTGGGGCCCCCTGCAAGCGCGTGCACGCGCCACGTCTATTTCTATGGGCACAAGCACTGTTCATGACACAAACTGTTCACACCTCTCTTGTTGGTGGAGATCATTTTTCAGGTTTGAATCTTATTTCCTGCAATTCTACACATTCTGTCATGGGGTGCAAAGAAAATTGAGCTGTTTTTACGCTAATTTTCTTGCAATTCTATACATTTTGCCATGTCTAATGTGTATTCATGTCATATTTGAGTGACTCGAAAATTAAATGTATAAGGGCTAAAAAAACTAAATAAAAAACATTAGCTAACATTGGCAAGTTGATCTGTACATTTCAGGCTCTGTCGTAGCCGGCCGCGACCGGGAGACCCATGGGGCGGCGCACAATTGGCCCAGCGTCGTCCAGGGTATGGGAGGGAATGGCCGGCAGGGATGTAGCTCAGTTGGTGGGTTCGATTCCCACGGGGGGCCAGTATGAAAAATTAAAAAATAATAATGTATGCACTCACTAACTGTAAGTCGCTCTGGATAAGAGCGTCTGCTAAATGACTAAAATGTTTTAAAAAATTGACAAGTTAAAAATAGCTCTCTAATGTATGCAATGACTAACATGACAAGAGGAACTGATGATGCACTACCCAATTTCGAAATTTCACCTTGTGCATTCTACTATTACAACTTTAAAGAGAAAGTTTAAAGCTGGACTGAATTCCTTAAAAAAATGTATTAATAATTTTTTGGGCGGGACCCCCTCGCCACCCCTGCCGACTGTATTGTATACTTAATTAAACTCAACTGCACTGTACAGTACTCTAATGTACTGTACTCTACTATACTGAATTCAACTGTACTTTACTCTAATATACTGTACTCTACTTTGCTCTACTGTACTGTACTCTACTGAATTAAACTGTGCTGTACTGTGCTGTCCACACTTGTGACACATAGACAACGTTTCATTGTCATTTAGCTTACTGGGTACATTGTTACAATGGGGCTGATTGTCAGATTGGGACAAGCAACCCTGACATCAATGCTAATTAAGATGCTAGTTACCATGGCTTGACCTAGGAACTCACAATTAGGCTTGAAATAAAGCTTTCCCTTTCCTCCTTTCAATAAAAGTAATTGTTTATGTATACTCCCATCATACAACTATTTATTAAAGAAATAACAAGCATATGAATATTTACTTTCACCAATGAAAAATACAAATATTCCTCTCACCTCAATGTTTTGTGATCCTGACCTTAATTGGCCACATGGATGACCTCTGCTATAGACGACACACATTTTTATCTTGAAATTATTACTCCAGATTTGGAGTCACACTCAAAATTAAAGTGGAACACCATACTACAGGCTGATCCAACTTTGATGTAATGTCCTTAAAACAAGTCAAAATGAGGCTCAGTAGTGTGTGTGTGGCCTCCACGTGCCTGTATGACCTCCCTACAATGCCTGGGCATGCTCCTGATGAGGTGGCGGATGGTCTCCTGAGGGATCTCCTCCCAGACCTGGACTAAAGCATCCGCCAACTCCTGGACAGTCTGTGGTGCAACGTGGCGTTGGTGGATGGAGCGAGACATGATGTCCCAGATGTGCTCAATTGGATTCAGGTCTGGGGAACGGGCGGGCCAGTCCATAGCATCAATGCCTTCCTCTTGCAGGAACTGCTGACACACTCCAGCCA